GGAAGCAATGATTTGAAGTTAAAAATGACTTAATGATGGATTTGTTTCTTTTGGCTTCACAAGGCATTAACTGATGGACTGGAGTGCTGTGGATTATTGTGATGTTTTTATCAGCTGTTTGGACTCTCATTCTGACGGCACCCATTCACTGCAGAGCATCCATTGCTGAGACACTGATGCAATGCTACATTTCTCCAAATCTGATGAAGAAACAAACTCATCCTAATCTTGGATGTCCTGAGGGTGAGCACATTTTGGGTGATTATTCCTTTAAGTATAAACAAGTGAAAAAATCTGCCAGTGCAATGAGGCAAAATGCACTTATATTCAAAATATGAATGTCTTAATATAATTTGCAGCATTGTAAAGGTACATTTATCATGTTTCAAGTTCAAAAAGACTAATTAAAAACTCATTAAGAAACCAAAAAAGTTGTAAAATGCAATTTGCACGCCACGTTTCCGAATTCAGAGCGCTATAAATGAGTTTTCTCCCACATCAGTCCAGCAGATCGCATCTTTCCTGTGAATTCCTCCGTTCCCAATCACTCCTGCTTTAGTTGTGTATTTGGCTACTATCTGATGGGCAGATTGTTGGTATTTTGGTTTGCTTACCTCTGTTTGAGGGTGGGCTGGTCAGCATTTGTTTGATCATGTGAGCGTGTCAAAGGTCAAAGAAAGGCACCTTTACATGCATTAGTTATCCATCATATATGCTTCATCTGCTCCATTGAGACCACATCGGACCGAGAGCGCGGATAAGGCCATCTCTGTTTCACCACAAGCCTTTGTGCGCTGAAGTTCTTCCTGTCTTTCTGTCCTATGCATGACAAAAAAAGCTTTTGATTGAGGAAAGAGAAAGGAAGAAGATCCCAGGAGAGACGAGCGCTTTCTTCCAGACCCGAGGAAGGTCCAAAATACGTCAGACCTCTAATGTGATAGGGCTCTTTAAAGGCCAGAGTCTTCTGTATATGTGAAGAGAAGCACTCTTCAGCTTCAGCGAGTCCATGAGAGGTGAACATTGTGAAAAGTGAAACTGGAAGAGAAATCTAGATCAGCTGGTTTGATTTTGCAAAGCTCTTTCATTTTTAGTCACGGCGAGTCTTAAAAGTGAAGTGTGTAGATTTTCTTGCGTGAAATTTTCCAGCTTAATATGCAACACTAAGAAAGATATTTGTCGATTTAGGCCGATTTCTGTGATTTTTGTTGTAAATTAAGTTGCAAATATACAAAATACTATTTCAGTCTTTCTTCTTCAAAATTTCAGTAAGAATTCAATATTATCTTTGTAATTATTTTTGAAATTTACTACCAGTTACTTAGAGTCGGCAAGTTACACACTGAATTCAGTGTGAAATATTTAAGTATACAAAGACTGAAATACACTGATATAAAAAAAATTGGAGTGATTTATTTAAAAAAAAATTCATTCAAATTTTGGTAGTAAATTCCAGAAATCCTTATAACTATATTACAAGTGACACACTAAATTTTATGTAAATTTTTTTTTATAATAAAAATACACTGACAAAATAATGGTTTAGGAATTACATTGAAACAATTTTGACTCAGAAATTGCTTGTAAATGTTGCAAAAATTAAAAATTAGAATTTTGAATTCAGTGTGAAAATTTGAATTAGAAAGACTGAAATACACTGGAAAAAATATTGGTGTAGGATATATATTGAAACAAGTTTCATTCAAAAATGGATAGTAAATTACACAAATAATTACAAAGACATGTGGCACGTTAAATTTAATGTGACATTTTTATAGTATAGAAAGACAGAAATACACTGAAAAAACTAGTGTAGGATTTACTTTTAAACTATTTTAACTCAGAAATTGCTAGTGAATTTTTCAGCTCTTTGATAAAGCAGTGTAATGACATTAGAACCCAGTCAGATGTGCATGTTATAATCAAGTGTGAGACCAAGCAGTCAGACAACTGCGGAGTATAAATATATGCATTATATCAATGTAAAGTAATTGCACCTGTGATCACACAAAACTCCTCCTCCATGAATGACCGCATATATAGTGAGATCATATTTTCATAAGGCTGTCTGATGTTATCAGCGTCTCTGAGGTGAGATTTGTATTGTATTTGTATTGTATATACATATATATTTATAAAATATTTATTTCAATAAATGCATTACTGGAAAAACTTATATAAAACACATATATAAATATAAATATATATATATGTATATACAATACAAATACAATACAAAACAAAACTATATATTATGCATATTATATTTATCATTTAGTGTCCACAATGTAAAAATGCTCTTAGAAAATAAGAAATAAGAATTTTATTGAAGTTTATAATAAAAAAACAAGTAATTTCTTAATCTCTTTTCCTCTTTTTGGTAGGAAAAAGCTCTTTCTAATGATGTTTCAGTGTGAGTTTAATTAGAATCGGATTAGATGTTTATGTGGGAATGTGAGACACGAGTAATTAAATCTCACCTCAGAGACGCTGATAACATCAGACAGCCTTATGAAAATATGATCTCACTATATATGCGGTCATTCATGGACGAGGAGTTTTGTGTGATCACAGGTGCAATTACTTTACATTGATATAATGCATATATTTATACTCCGCAGTTGTCTGACTGCTTGGTCTCACACTTGATTATAACATGCACATCTGACTGGGTTCTAATGTCATTACACTGCTTTATCAAAGAGCTGAATTTAAAGACATTTCTAAGAAATGTTCCAGGTGTAATATATATATTTTTATATTAAATTTAAAATAATTTTTTTGCTCTTAAATTTGGAAAGTGTTGCAGAACAGTGTAAGTTTTTTAGTTTTTTACTATTATTTTTAATATAATTTTTATATTATAGTAGCTTTTAGTTTTAAGTTCATTTTATTTGTATACGTTTTAGTACTTTAGTTTGAGTTTGAGTCATTTTGTTACGTGTGTCTGTCATTTTTAAAGTTTTTTATATTGCTACGTACAGTAGCTTAAATTTATTTTCATTTCAATTTTCATTTATTTTCATTTCAGTTTGAATCATTTTAGTATGCAAGTTTGTTTCCACCATGGAATAAAAAAATTAATATAATGGGTATTTGCGACATTCTCGCAATTCTGATTTGTTTCCCTGCAATTCTGAGAAAAAAGTCAGAATTGCGAGATATAAACTCTGACTTTTTTACTTTGTTTCGCAACTGCAAGTCTGTATCTCCCAATTCTGAGTTTATAACCCAAATTCTGACTTTTTTCTCAGAATTGCAAGAATAAAAATTCTTAAGAATTCTTATAAAAAATCACAGAATTGTGAGATAAAAAGTCACAAAATTACTTTTTAAATATATAATTTAGCTCCCATATTTTAGTGCTTCAACTTATTTAATTCAGTTAGTTGCCAAGGCAACATTTCTAGTTTTAAAATTTTTCATCTGATATTTATTTAATTTTATTTCAATTACATTTCACTGGTGCAGAAATGACAGACTTCACTTTTAAACTGTGGACAGCAGCTATGCTCTGTGGACAACAGTTTTGCCTCATTTGTTATAAAAAAATATGAAAATAAAACAGGCTAAAATAATAAGGACTAAATAATAGGGACTAAATGGGGACATTGTTGTACGTTGTTAGTCAATAGAGCTTTTATCTAATTATTGGAATATTCCTTTAAGTTGTCTGAAATACTAAAGAATGAAGGAATGCATGTGATTTAAAAATGAAATGCAGCCATTTATTATTATGCTGGAATGCATTCACTATATCATTAGCAGTTACATCATCATAATATCATCAGTGCATTCTGACAGGTTGACAAAACGGACATTTTCAATGTAAATGAAGAATAAGCGTCAATATGCACAGGCAGGAGACGGCGGTCGTCGGTTCAGTGATGCTTTGCTGTTGATTTGAGTGTCTAGAGGTCAAATTCATCAATGCTTTGAGCAATAATGCACATAACAAACAGCAGCGCTTAGATGAACATACATACATACATACATGTGTAGAAAAACATACACAAAGATAATGTTGATGTGCGTCATGAGTACAGAAGTTGCACATCTCCCTGTTTGAACGGCCTTTACAGCAAATACTAATCATCATATTCATTTTCTCCAGCAAGAGCATCGATCTGAGACCCTCGAAGTTTATAAAACACAAATCATGTGTCCTCACAACAGACTCGAACAGAATCTTTTTGATATACAGAATAAGTTTGTGCACAAGATGCATGACTTCAGACGTCTATAGCAAGTCCAGATGTGTGTAAATATCATGCCACAGACTGTAAGTGTTGTGAAATTGTAGTTCATTTTAAGCAAACTCTTATCACAGAGAACACACTACTTTAGCTTCGACCATCTTTACTGACTAGCAGTGTGTCTGTATGAAGCAATGCATGTCTGGGTTAAACTTAGAAATGCCAAAGCACTTGGTTCCCCGTTGTTTTGTTTAGTTTTTCACACTTGGCTCATTTTTAGGGGTCTAAAAGCAGTTTGCAAAATCAAAAAAAAAATTTATTACATTTTTATATATGCATACATATTAATAAATAATTTAATTCAGTATGTATGCACGCATATACAGTATATATATATATATATATATATATATATATACTGGTATATATATGCACGCATACAATACTATAATAAAATTATTTATAAATATGTATCCATATATAAAAATCAAATTTTACACAAAAACACACACACATATATATATATATATGTGTGTGTGTGTGTGTGTGTGTATATATATATGCATATACAGTATATACACATAAAATTAATTTCTCAATTCTTGATTAAGTGCGTTAATTTTTTGCATTCATTTGAAGCGAGTTTGTTACTTTTAAACTCAACTGTGAAACACACTATGAAAGCGTCAACAGAATTAATGTAAATGTATGTGTGTGTTTGAAATTTTACACAAAAACACACACACATATATATATATATATGTGTGTGTGTGTGTGTGTGTGTATATATATATATGTATGTGTGTGTGTGTGTGTGTATATATATATGCATATACAGTATATACACATAAAATTAATTTCTCAATTCTTGATTAAGTGCGTTAATTTTTTGCGTTCATTTGAAGCGAGTTTGTTACTTTTAAACTCAACTGTGAAACACACTATGAAAGCGTCAACAGAATTAATGTAAATGTATGTGTGTGTTTGCTATAGCTGGGTTTCTCTCTGATCTATTCTCACGGCTCTGTGACCTTTCACCCTTGACCTCTGTGACCTTTCACCAGCAGAGTACTGATCATCGCTGTGTGTGTAAATAATGCACATCTCCAGCACGTCAAAGCCTTCGTAAATATAGCCTGTGTGTGTGTGTGTGTGTTTTGGCAGATGTCTATATCAGATAAAGGTCATGCATTTATTACCCGTCAGACCTTCACAGAAAGTCCGAGTGGCTTTAGTCCAGCTCCTTTTGATAGCTATGAACTCACATCTACTTGTCATGCAGTCGACTGCTGTGGTCAAATTTCTACACTAACTACTCTAGTATCCTGTAGAAACGGCTTGTGTGTGGTTTTCTTCTGTTGCTCCGTTGATTGGCTGAGAACTCATTGTGTTGATTGTGTGCCGGTAACGGGTCGGTCTCGGTCTCGCTCTAGTGCGGACGGGACAGGCCGAGCGCTGCGCTGATGCAGGCCAGAATCAGGACGGCGCTGGCGGCGACCGCTGCGCCGCTGGACCGGTAAACCACGCGTCCGTTACGCGGCTGAACGGGTCTGAACGTTCCCACCATTGGTTTCCCATCGTGGAACTTCAGGGTGGAAAAACCCCGCAGCTGTTTGAAGACACATAAGAATCAGAGGTTTATCATGCAGGTTCAAAGTGATGACAGGAAGTTCATTTTTTTGGGGTCAGCTGGCCCTTTAAGTGCTTACTTCTGAAGTCATAATAGAACCAACAGTCGGTTCCTGAAGTAAAAATCCCATTCATTTTCTCCATTTTCAAAGATAACTTGTTAACCTTTAAAAACACACCTACTATGAGCTACAAGGTTATTATTCGATGGTATATGCTTTTGTTGTAGCTGTCATTTAGCATTATTTCGACTTATCTTTTAAAGAATTGGTGGAATTCCTTTTGAAAACTGTACATTACCCACGATTCTGCAAAATAATATAAATCTAAACAAGCAAATCATGCCAAAAGAACTCTTTAGTGTCTCACTACACTCTCAAAATACTCTACACAGGTTGTATATATATGTATGTATGTATGTATGTATGTGTGTGTGTGTGTGTGTGTGTGTGTGTGTGTGTGTGTGTGTGTGTGTGTGTGTGTGTGTGTGTGTGTGTGTGTGTTTGGCTTCAGGCAGAATGAGCTGATTCAGAGAGATCTTAAGGAGCGTCGTGTTTCCATCTGCACAAATGAAAAAGAGTTATTCAGACAGTTGTGTGATGTGAGCGCAGGAATGTGTGTTCAGGGAAGCATATTTGTTGAAGAATGTCTCTTCTGCTCACCAACGCTGCATTTATTTGATCTAAAGATACAGCAAAAATTGTGAAATATTTTTGCTATTTAAAAGTATTGTTTTCTATGTGAATATATAATAAAGTGTAATTTATTTCTGTGATGCGCAGCTGAATTTTCAGCATCATTACTCCAGTCTTCAGTGTCACATGATCTTCAGAAATCTGTATAATATGCTGATTTGCTGCTCAAGAAACATTTCTGATTATCATCAATGTTGAAAACAGTTGTGCTGCACAATATTTTTGTGGAAACCGTGATGCATTTTATTTTATAAATACAAAATTTAAAAGTACAGCATTTATTTGAAATCGTAACACTATAATTGTCTTTGCTGTCAATTGAATGCATCCTTGCTGAACAAAAGCCTTTGTTTCTTTCTTTCAAAACCAAAAAATCTTACTGACCCCAAGCTTTTGAACGATAGTGTACTTTTAAATATGTCTATAAATGCATAAAGTTTCCTTTTATGGTTAGTATTAGTCTATAGTAATTATATCTAGCTTTATTTATCTAAAAATATCTATTAAGTGTCCATGTAGATGTTTTTTTAATTCATTTCTCCCTAGATGTTATTTAAGGAGGACAATGACAAAGATTTTCACAAATTTCACAAATTAAAAGTGTGCAATTTCTTTGCTACTAACAGCACCAAGCGGAACAAAATCATGAAAAATAAAGATAACAATTGTTTCCAGATAGTCCTATTGTCCCTCAAGCTCGCGTCATTGGTTGAGTCATAATCTGGCATGTCGTGTCGCTCAAACAAACAGATCAATGTTATGAAAGCGACCTAAAAAATATATCAAACGGCCCCTACATCACCACATGTCGTTCAGGAGGGTTTCAAGAAAAATTCCCCTTGCTCATCCAGAAATAAACTCCAGCATATTCTGTTATCAGACACGACTGGAACTCAAACAGGACTGGCTGCTATGCTCCTAAAAAAGAGCTTTTTGGCAAGCAAACACACCAGATGCATTTGGTGCAAACAGGGATAAAAGTACCCCATGGCCACGGTTAAATATACAGCTGGATCTTTAATGCTGTGGGTCTATTTTTCTGCCGGAGGTCCTGGACATCTTGTTCAGATGCATGGCATCATGTATCCTATCAAATACCAACAGATAAAAAAATCCTAAACCTGACTCTGTTAGGAATCTCATAACGGGCCAAAGCTGGATCTTCCATCAGGACAGTGATCCAAAAGAAACATCCAAATCAACACAACAATGTGTCACTGAGCACAAAACGAAGCTTCTGCCACGGCTGTCTCCGTTCCCTGAGCTGAACCCTGTAGAAAATGAGTGAGGTGAACCGAAGAGAAGGAGCTGGGGAGATTCTGTGTGAAGGCATGCTCTCTGATTTCTCGTCAGGCATTATAGGAGAAAACTCAGAGCTGTTCTCTTGAGAAAAGGACGTTGCAATAATTGTGGCCAACGTGAACTAGAGAAATATATTTGTTTCATAATGAGATTCCCCCCCCCACTTTCAGTTGTTTTACTTCAATGATAGGTTAGAATTTTGTGATTTTTTTTGTTTTTTTGAATGAAAGATTAAAAAGATAAACAATGCAGATTTATTTTCACAGCCACCTTTGCTCATATTTACCAAGAGTGCTAATATTGGTGAAGGTCTCTCTCTCTGTCTGTGTGTGTGTGTGTGTATATATAATTAATAAATTATTTTATTTTTATAAATATAATTTATATATTATAAATAAATACATTATATTATTTTATTATCTTATTAAATGTATTATTTAACTTATATTCTGCAAAGGACTAATAATAAGGTTCAAATAATCCATTTAATGTCAAATAACTTTACAAAATAAGCTTTTTTCTTCACAAAATGTCATTTTCTGTCACTGTTTGGATGTAATAAAACCACCAAAGATATAGCAGAAAACATGCATTTTCTTCTGTCACTGACAATAATTCTAACCTTGATATCAGGATTAGGCTTAAAATAACATCATGCATGTGAAAATGGGCTGAGAATTGATCATACAGTTGTAATGTGGCTCAGATCCAGACGGGAATCGTGTGTTTGGGGTGTTTTTCTGCTGATTGAGGGAGAATACAAGACTTCTTCACCTTACAAATGGTTGTCGAAAGCAAAAATGCTACAAAATGCATCATATTTTGTGAGAAAGTGTGACAAACTCGAGCAAAACAGACACTCTTTTTGGAGTCAGCAGCACAAAATTAGGAAGAAACGAGTGTTGGGTTTCATTCAGTGAATCTGATGCAGGCTGGTGTAGATCATTGATATGGTGTTGTTCGCACCTCCATAGGATACTGCTCTCCATCGACGGTGTGTTCAGATCCAGGACCTCCGTTGGTGCCCCAGTGGAGGTGAAACTGCACGGCCTTGTATGTTTCTCCCAGGTTTCCTCCAGACACTGTGGCTGTGATGGGTATACTGACCTGAACTGAGATGGAAAACACAACATTACAGTCCAGCATCACACAGACCAGTTTGTTTCTTCATCAGATTTGGAGAAATGTAGCATTGCATCAGTGTCTCAGCAATGGATGCTCTGCAGTGAATGGGTGCCGTCAGAATGAGAGTCCAAACAGCTGATAAAAACTTCACAATAATCCACACCACTCCAGTCCATCAGTTAATGCCTTGTGAAGCCAAAAGAAACAAATCCATCATTAAGTCATTTTTAACTAAAATACACTGAGTCCATAATCCATAATGACGCTTCCTCCAGTGAAAAAGTGCATCTCCGGTTGTTCTTCACATCAAAATCCAGCCACATATTTATTTAGAGCTGTTTTGGCTTGTAAACGGTGCTTGATCTGTACAGGTTTCTCTCCTGATTCAGACCAGAACACTTTTTCACTGGAGGAAGCGTTATTATGGATTATGGACTTGGATTTTAGTTAAAAACGTGTT